GAAAATCGGCGCGAGTGAATCAGATCAAACGCGCGGTCTCTTTCAATCTCCATCTCGCAACAATGTTTTATCTTATTCGTTTCGGTCTTCGTTAGCGAAGCGTGCGTTTCACTTTGCGAAGCACGCGCAGAGAGAGGAGGAGAGAAAGAGACTCGGTCGATTTGCAAGAGGTGAATTTGCGATCCGCGACTTCTCTCTCAGAGAGGACTAACAAATCACGTTTTTTTCCATCTCACTTTTACATGCGAGAATTCAGGCAAAGGAATGCGCATTTTAAAAGAGTATCGGCGATGTTTGTAAGAACAAACGGTGTACGAATGAATGTTTCCGTGCAACGTTTCTATTCTATCCGTGTAACGTTTCCCCGTGTTGCGTTTCGACGATGTGACGACCGATACGATTGACGCAACCGCAATAAGCACGGATTTATCGAGTCGGTGTAGCGGCGATACACGCCGACAGCTTTGTTCGGGCCGCAGATACCGGTAAACAACGAAAAAAAAGGAAAAAAAAGGGAAAACAAAAAACAATGCGCGCACCAACGGACGGTACAAAGAAATTACGGTGACAACGATGTGGAAAACTGCAGACGAACGTGAAAACGATCGGCGCGTGGGTCTTTTATTTCGCGCGCGAACGCCGCGCGCTCATCTGCGCGTCGATGTTGCGAAAACCGGCGCAAAAAGTCAACTCAAAGGATTCTGTCTGCCGCGGAGACCTTAGGCGAGAGCAGTGTAATCGACCATTTGTCGCCGTTATTCGTGAGACCGGAACGCACATCCCCGGCGGAACGACGTCCCGCGTCCAGGTTGTTTCGTAATTTGCGTTAAACTTGCACATAATCGATATTCGGGATTCGCATAGAACCTGACTGAGATATTGGGTTTGTCCGGAAAGTAAAGTTGGGTTTTCTCAAATAGATGATGTCAGTTGCTTTTTTAAGCAGTTAACCTCATTCTAAACCAGAAAATCATTTTACATTTTCACAACGCACATTTCAAGCTTCACTTGAAAAAAAAAAAAGTTGTTCTGAAATCTGTCAAGTTGTTTTTGCTCGGCGTCGCATCGAAAATGTAAAACCAACGTGAGCATTTTCGTCACATTTTGCTTTTTTTATTACCGTAAAGGCAAACACGCAGCGCAAGCAAGAAAAAAATGGTGTGCCGTGTACGGAGAGGATGTGTTGACTGAACGCCAGTGACAGAATTGGTTTTTGAAATTTCGTCCTGGGAATTTCGCTCTCAAAGATGCACCACGAGATGCAACACGAGAAATTGCTGAGTGATTGAATTTATCGAATTCGACCGTGCATGAGCATTTGAAACAACTTAATTTCGTTTCAAAGTTCGATATTATTTAGGTTTCACACATTCTCAAAGAAAGAGATTTGATCCGTCGCGATTACCATCTGCGATTTGCCGTTGAAACGGCAGTGAGGAAAACGACCCATTTCTGAAGCGACTCATAACTGGAGATGAACCACGGATTGTGTATAACAATATTGGAACAGACGTGATGTGACCAGCTCAAAGCACATCGAAAGCTGATGATATCCATCAAAAGGAGGTGACGCTGCCTATTTGATGGGATTGGAAAGGAATGGTTTTTTCGAGCTGCTACCAAACAATCAAACGATTGATTCGAATGTGTATTGTCGTCAATTGGACAAACTGAATGATTCCATCAAGCAGATGGCCAGAATTGGCGAACGAGAAAAGGTGTTGTGTTTCATCATGACAACGCCAGAATTCACACAAGTTTAATGACGCGCCAGAGGCTGTTAGTACTTGGATGGGATTTGCTATTGCATCCACCGTATTCACCTGATCTGGCGTCATCCGATTATCACTCGTTTCGGTCACCTCAAAATTCTTTGGATGGTAAAAGTTTCGATTCAAATGAAGGTGTCAAAAACCACTTAATTCAGTCAATTTGCCAATAAGGACCAGAAGTTCTACGAGCGTGGAATCATGTTATTACCTCAAAGATGGCAAAGGGTGTTGGAACAAAATACTCAACAGAATAAAACTTTCAGAATAAAACTTTTCTTTCTATTAAAAATATCGTGTTTCATTCTCACGCAAAGAGCCGAGATTACTTTCCGAACAACCCAATAGATAGATAGATAGCAGGAAGCTGCAGAGACTACATCTGAAAAGCAGCGCGGACATTCGATCTTTGCCTAGCTTCACTCCTGTCGAAAACAGCCAGGCATGCCTGCCGTGCCTGTGAACAGCGGTAGAGGAATATAACTGAGCTAGCTCCTTTGTATCCTTAGGTTTGTTTTCTATTACCGAACTGGCTGCACTACTTTGCACATTACTTCTTTCTCCCCGTTTCTGCCAACAACAAGTCTCAACTGCATACCCGTCTCTTTTCAAGTTTCGAAAGTAGTTCAGCGATAGAAAACAAACCTCTTGTCTTCAAATCTCTCGTGAAAAGGCACGGTCCGTGTGTATGAGGCTATGCAGATTCAACGATCGCGAAAAAGGAATAATGACTGCAGTCTCTCCCTCTCTCATCCTCTCGCTCCCGCTCGCTCCCTCTCTCTCTCTCTCTCTCTCTCTCTCTCTCTCTCTCTCTCTATTCTCGCTCATGGGGAACTCACCGGTCGATACACCGTCGGGTTTCGAGCGCCCAGACCTAATTATCCGGTGCGTATCGCCGCTCTGTCATTGAAAATTTTCTCCGGCCGAATCCGGCCTCGCCCTCGGCCTAATAACGTCGCGCTCCCCTTCCACGTGCGCATCCTCCGTGGCGATTATGGCGTAACTCGAATACCACGCAAGGATGATCGCGCGCGCGTGTCGATCGACTCGCAACTACGCAACGGCGGTGGCGACGGCGGCAGTGAGGGGTGTTTCACCCTCTCCCGATCCCAGTTTGCATTGTCCGTCGATTCTGGTCTCGCCGCCAGCTGTTGCCATTTTTTTTTTGTCTCTCGTCCGCGTTCGCCCCCGGCTCCTTTGTCGTGCGCCATCCTCGTTCGTGCCAGCCGATCCGAGCCGAAATTAATCAAAAGGGGACGATCGGCCGCACGTGGACAAGCCACCCTCTTGCGCGCAGACGCACTCTTTTCCCCGATCAAAATATTAAATAGCGCACAGCCCCCCTTGACGATTCCGCTTCGAGGCACCGAGAGCCCGGAACAATAAGTGAGAGGGGTGGCGGACGAACCTGAGGAGGAGGAGGAGGAGGGTGAGGGGGAGGAAAAGAAACAGGAGAAGGTGGAGGGAGGCTAGCGAACGGCCACGTGCCAAGCATGGGAATATAATGCCGCAACGGCCACGTGCCCACCACCTATCGGGTGTACCGGCAGAAAACGACCACTGGTTGCGTCGTCGTCGTCGTCGTCGTCGTCGTCGCCGTCGCCGCCGCCCTTCCAGCTCTCTTGCTCTCCCTCATCCTTCCCTCTCCTCTGTCCGCTCTGGCGCGACGCACGGTGCACAATTATTTGCATTTGGGATTTATTTCCGGCGATTCTCAAAGCGAAGAGCGTGGAAATCGAATCGCCGCCGATGGGAAAACAGGCGACTGCGGTTCGCCTGTATTTATAGCCGCGATTAAAGCGCACACGTGGGGCGATCGATTCGAGTAGCTTCGCGGTTGTTACAGACTGATGTGTGTGTACACAAAGGTTCGCCGATGCGCAAAAACGCTGCGCTGTTTCGTAGCTTCGAAAAGGATATCGATCCTTTGCCACCTTACGTCGCGGTGCGAATTATTTACTCTGATTGTGCACTTTCTGTCCGCTCGCGTGGGAATTTGGGCTCCTCGCGAGTGCAGTCTCTCTCGTTTGCATCTTAGCTGCAGATAAAACGAGCTGGAATTTACTTCCCGTTGGCGTGCGTTCGCCGCGTCTCCTACTTTTCAGTGAAAATTGTCGGGAATAAGAGCTTAATGAGGGAGAGAGGCAACCTGTAATATAAAATTCCAGCGAAAACGACGGTATTTTCTGACTCACGCTCTTACGTTCGATACGATCTCGGCATCGTTCGCACGGGCGGATAAAACCGAGAGAGAGAGAGAGAGTGAGAGAGAGAGTGAGAGAGAGAGAGAGAGAGAGAGAGAGAGAGAGAGAGAGATGCGAACGACATGACGAATCGCGATTGGGTCATAACGCGCGCAAGTTACGATCCAGATTAAGAGAATGGGCCGACGCGACGCGGCGACGCGGCATTCGCCGGTCGTCGCACGTTCTCTTTCCTCTTTCGCGCATTAACTAAGGGGTCGATAAATTACTTCTCCCCGCATGCTAATAGAAGCCGAGTGAGGGTAGATAAGAACGCGATTCTCCGCCGACAACTCTGTAAAATTTTAATCTAAGTTCGACTCGCGGCGAAACCCCATCAACTGATACGACGACATGATTTAAGACTCGCGGCTCGCGCGCGATCGCGAGAGACGTATCGTCCGCTCATATTTCGCCGCTAGAGATGCGCAAAAAAAAAATGAAAAAATAAAATAACGATTGTGTCAAGTGGAATTTCTCGCGTGAATAGCCTACATCGTGAAAAAAAGAGAAAAACGATATTAGAAACAAAAGATAAATGGTTTTACAGAAATTATAGATATTCCCGACGGCGATTGTACTTTTCTTCTTTTTTATCTGATCTTTCTATTACGTCAACGACGGAAGTCGTCGTTACTTTCATCAAATCACCGATCGCAATTTTCGCGACGAGGCTTGAATCGATTATTTGCTCGCTCGCGGTAATCTCGCGTAAGTAGCTTAGCCGCCAAGCAACGTTATTACACGCACCGTGTCATTATTAAGATCTCCGTTCCAACGTAAAAAGTAACAGCGGCGACGTGCGTATGTGCTTGTTACGCTAATCACAGTAGCATTTAAATAAACGCGGCTGTGAAATAATTTTCCAGTTATTTCACCGCAATTATAGCCACAGGCGCACGAGTACCAAACACTTGTCATCTGCGTACATAGAAAAATCCTGCGTACGTAGAAAAATCCTGCGTAGATACGAGACGCACAAGGAACGTTGAGATCGAAAACTTTTATTGTCACGTAGGAAGATATGCTTCGCTGTTTCACACAATCAATTATTTTACAAGCCGGCCGGTCCGTCTCTCTCGAGTCAGAATTGCACCAAAACCTCGTAGTCCCTGTACGAAATCTCCTTGCCGTCGTACGGAATGTACAGGCAACCGTGGCTCCTGTGAACCTGCCGGACAATAGACAATCTATATCCCTCATCGGCTCTCTTGTCGTTCACACGAACGCACGGCCGCCGCAAGTTCCGGCTCGACCGACCGCGACGTTACTACTACCTTTCCTACGCAGGGCACGCCGTTGTGATAAGCGCGGCCGACGTACAGCATTTCCCCGTTCGAGATCCTGCCGGCCTCCACCGCGTGGTCCGGTACGTGACCGTGGCTCGAATGGATCCAGCTGAAGTGGGCGGGCATCAGTACCTAAAGTAAAAGCGAGCATTTTTCCGAGTGATCCGCTGGCCGGGTCCGATCAACGAGTGCGAGCCGCGCGCGAGGCACTCGAGTCGGCCGACACGAAAAACCGTATACTCTTCTCGCGCACCCTTCCGGCTCCACCCAAGGCAAATAGATTAAGCCGGCTATCCGACGGCGCCGCGCTCGCGCGCGCGACTACAGGCGATAGCGAGAGGCGGCTCGTGTAAGCCGAACCAGAAGAAATTGATTCGGACGTGAGGCACGATCGAGTGCACGCCACGGCAAACAGAGGGTTCTCGCCTAATGCGCGGGATCGCGAGGAGGGTATTCCCTCCCCCTGCCCCTCCCCCTTCCCCCCCCCCCGGTGCCGTGTCGAATGCCGTCCAAATCGATACCGAGCGCCGCTCCTTCGCTTTTCCTCACTTTCGCTCGTCCGACCGTAGCCGGGAAATCGCCGGAAGTCGTCCTGCGGGTATCTCAGCGACGACAGCGACGACGGCGACGACGGCGCGGCGGGCGGTTCCGCCGGTTACGTCGATCGATCGATCGACAGGTGCGCGATGCCTCGGACGCGACCCGGTTTCGCGAAAGAGCGGCGAATACGCGCATTGAAACGTCGAGAGCAAAGCGGGAGAAAAGAAGAGAAAAGCGGTGAAACACGCGCGTTCGATATCGCGACGTGTGGATTTTATCTATCCGCGAGCAATAACGCGCGCACATCGTAAGCGCTCGTAATCTTATCTCTCGCGCGTCCAAACGAGATGCGCAGCGAACGCGGACGAGTTACGCAAGCGCTCCGCCCGTAGGAATGCAACGATAAATCGATAATACCGACGTATCGATACGTCGAGGGGCAAATATCGAATATTTATCGATATCCTTTTGTCTCCGATAAGATCGATATATCGATATGAAATTTTACTGATATTTCGGATTTCTCGGTTACAGCTCTGGGGGCGGTTCTATTACGGTTCTACGACCGAGATGTAAATTACATAAGTGAGTGAATTCACTGGAATATAGTATATTATGTAATTGGTCGATGTCTAGTAAATTCGTTCATTTTCATCATTTTCTCCTGAATCGTTCGACCGTAATAGATCTCCCGCTCCATGTATGCGGTGATCTCCGGCAAACGACTGCGGTTTGTTATATATTTTCTAATAAGAATATGACGATAAATTATACGAAGATAAAAATTTTTGAAAGATCTTTTTAAATTTTTCGCGCGTACCCTTTATACGCGTACCCCTGTATGTATACATTTTTTTGTATATAAATATTGATATAAATATCGATACTTTTCGATATTATCGTTATTGATGCTTCTGAATGACGACAGTGTCGTTATCGATACTTTGAGAAATCGTTGCATCCCTATCCGCGCGGGGTCTTAAATTCGCTTATTAACGCGCAAGAGAATAGCGAAAGCGAGATCCCGTCCGATCCCGCGCGGGACCTGCCGAGGCGTACGAAAGCGCAGCTTCGTGAGCCTTGCGTAATCGCGAATTAATTGCGGGGAACAGAGCGCGAGCGTCGGAGGAGGAAGGCCCGAGATCGACGAGCGAATTTCGCGAAGGGACGCGACGCGGCGTGGACGCGCGCGTCCAGCGGAGGAAATCCGCCGACGAAAGTGAACGTCGATCAAATTTCTCCGCTCGCGCCATGAATTATACCTCAAAGTTGTGCTTCGTGTGCTCGGCGCCTCCGTGTGCCACGTAAGCGACGCCGTGTTCCGGCTTCACTTTCGCCGGCAACATGTCACCTTGGTGCATGGCGCGTCCCACGACGAGATTCGAGCCGTCCAGATCCCTCCCGACGGAGATCATCATGTGAGGATCGGCGTAGGGCATCGGCCAGCGCACCCATTTGTACCCTGCGACGGGAACGATCCATGTTTTCGCGCGATCGTTATTTTCGTCGAGCCGTCCTATCGCCGACTCTCGCGGATGATTAATCAGCTGGCGGTAATAGCTCGCGTAAGTAGCATAATCGTTATTTACACACACACACACACACACACACACACACACACCATGTCGTCATTATCAAACGACTTCTGTGGGCTTTCCATCCGGAAAAACCTCTTCTCTTTTCTCGAGCAAACTAACGGAATCTCACTTCCGTGTATCTTTTTCGGTCGGTATCTCTTGTCAGTGAATCGCACCGTGACAATAAGTGGCTGAAAGATGCGTAAAGATGAAATAACCACATTGCAGCTCGAAAACGCAGGAGAGGCTTTGGCACACTTGACTCGTTATCGAGAAGAAGCGACGAGCAAGAATGTACCCGAGACGTTATCAATCTCGTGTCGTCAGATAGCCGCCGTATTGACACGGCTATCGCTCCGGCAGGTAACGTATTGCAACAACGAGTCGATTCACCGTCACTTTCATACATAGGTATTCATAGTCGAGTCTTATATTTAAGATCGTCTTAAGTTCACCTTCGGATACCCTGTAGCCAATGAAATAATTTGTATAGTATCTGTAGCTGAACTTAAGACGATCTTAAATATAAGATCCGACTGTGAATACCGGCCATATTCCGTCAAGTGTCTTCTAAAATTGCCCGCGAACTTTGACCCAACCACCGAAATCGGTACCGACTTTTAATCGTACTTTCAGCCAATTATTCCCAAAGGTCGATGTTACGCTAATCGATGTCGCTCTTACCGGGCATCGCTTATCCCCTCGATCGGACCTCGTGGACGCACTGACGTGTTGCGACGGACAATTCAGCGACACTGATGACAGTTCTCGCGTGGCGAAGCGTTTCGTCGAGCGGTTTATCACCGAGTGTTGATACTCTGGGCGTTAGCGAACTCGATGCCACATTCTCGCTTTCCTTATCGGTCTTATCGGTAACGCCGGTTACGCCGAAAGCCGCATGTACATCACACTAAAGTCTGAATTCGCGGCGAGACACACGCATTTCTTCGCTGCCATTCATTCGTCATGTTACGTAACGATCTTGTCGCGCGGTAATATTCCGAATATTACGATGACTCGTGTCGATTTCGCGATTTCTCCCACATTCGCGCGCGCCGGAGTTCCGACGATTCGAGGATTTCCGCGGACGCGTATCTCGTTAGTCACACGACCGTCGACTCGTTCTCGATAAGACAAATCGATGAGCCTCGTACGTTTACTCGATAACTCGTGACTCGGCGATGTTGATCGAGCCGAGCAATGTGTTTTTCATTGATTTCCAGCTCGCTCATTTAAGTCCAGCCTCGCTCCGACGCGGCACATTCCAGCCAGATTTTATCGCGTCGAAGTAAAAGTGGATTCTCGGACCGGGACGATTTATCGCGCGATACGAATTTCGCGCAATTTCGTGGGAGAAAGAAACCTGGGCGAAATGTTAAACCGTAAGATTCTCGGACGAAAATGGGAGAAGCTCGAGCGAGCGGTGCTCGGCGCGTCGTTCAAACGTCGCGAAACATCGCGAGCGGCGGCGGCGGTGAAGGAACGAACTTTCTCGTTCGCGCGCAGCAGGAAGCGAACGATTTGCCGCGCTCATCGACTCCGAGCGAAAAGAGGCGGCTCTTACGTATCGCCGTCGTGCAGAAACACGCGTTACGTCCCCGCGATTCGCGCTTCGGGCGACCGCGCACCGGGTGCTCGCTCATTATCGTCAGGTGGAATCGTGCTCCGAGGCGCGTATTGCGTAATGAGAGAAAATACAAGCGCGGTCCGGCTAGAAAGAACGAACGAACGGAAAAGGGGACGAGGATGGCCGGAGGTGTACATCCACTTGTCGTAACGCGAGGAGGATCCTCCGCTCGGCGGAGGATGGATGAACGAGGTCGGAACGCGAGGAACACGTCGCGGTGTAATTATATTCAAACTACATAAATATTTTATTTTCCGGCGGAAAGAGAAAGAAAGAGAGAGAGAGAGAGAGAGAGGGGGGGGAGGTCTATTGTATCAAGGCCGGTGAATATTCACGGTGCGCGTCAAAGTTACTCGACGAGCCCAATCATGACTCCATGAATTTTCGATTATTTACCAATGTGCACTTTTTCACGCGGAACATATCGACCCGAGCTGTGCCGAATATAACAGGTTGCGAATACGAATCTGTAATTAATTGAAGCCTTAATCAGAGATTGTAAATGATTCACACGGCTGCGAATATCGGCCTGAGTAGCCGTGCGAGCGAAACGCGCGAAATCGACGACAAGCACAGTCGTAGCCTCTCGCGGCAATCTAATCGAGATCGCGCGATATCAGATTATCAGCGACCCTTTTAAATACGCAATACCGCCGAGAGACTCTCGAGCGTTACGTGGAGATCTATAATTGCGATTGGCGAAAACAACGATGGCGCGCGGGAATACTCGTCGCGCTCGTTGTTTCCGTTAAAGTCGCGATAATGTTAGCAAGACGAAAGATTCTTTCGCCAGAATCACCGTGGCCAAGCTCTTCCGATCGTTGATCCGTACTTAATCGCGGCATAGATAATGCCTTTGGAGCAGAGACGGTCTAATGAGACGTGTAATGAGCGCTCGCTCGCGCCGCTTCGAGCGTGAAAAAAGAGGCGAGCATTCGAGTCGAACGAGTCTCACGTTCGACAATAATACGGCGCTTTCGGCGTCTCCTTGTGGGAATTCCGCGCGAATTAATCGCCATCGTGCGTAATCGCCTCCGACCGATGGCGGCGGATCGCACGCTGGACGCAGGCTGACGGACATCGTCCGAAATTCGAGACACTTAATCGACCGGCAGAGATGAGATAGGAGAATCCTCGGCGCACGGTCCTCCACCCCCCGTGCAAGAACGTTGCACAGAAGGGTGATTTAAGCTCGGCGAGGGTGCTTTAATGGATCTGCTAAGGCGAGTGCTATCTCCCGGATATACTCCCTCGCCCTTTTGTGAATAATGCCATCGCCCGCGCAGCGCGATCGCGTCCCTTTTCCTTTCTTTCCTTTTCTTGGTGTGTGTATGTGTATATATATATATATATATATATATATATATATATATACACCATATATATACACCATATATAAACACATACACAATGTGTACATACGCTATGTAACCAGAGCCCGACGTAAAATATCGGAATCACGTCGCTATTTGCCCAATACTATTGACACGACGCGAGAGATATTGCCGCGTTTCGGCCGGATTATTTGGAAAGCTCCGACGGCGATTATCAGAATATGTCGGAGCAGCTGTATTGATAAAAAAAAGCAAAAACAAGATATCGATATGTACAATTAGAATGGAATCGAAGTGTATTGTGATTCGGCGACGAGAGAGAGAGAGAGAGAGAGAGAGAGAGAGAGAGAGAGAGAGAGAGAGAGAGAGAGACAGAGGTTCTTTGTGAGCCGCCTGGGTAGCTTTAGAAGCGGGTGCGAGAGATTATTCGTCGCATCAAAAGCCAAGAAAAATATCAAGATATCAATATGCCACCCCAGGACACACTCGAGACTTAAGTACTTGCAGCTCTCGACATTCTTATCGCTTTGCTCTTTGGGCATGAATATTTAAACATTCAACGTAGAATATATTTAAATTAAACGCGGAGCATATTCCACACGTGGGAAAGTTTGAACGTCCAAATGTGAAGGCAAAAATAACAAGAACGTCCGGAATTACGTACGTGTCCCGGCGATTTTGTAGCCAAAACTCGTGCGATGCGTTTGCAGATGACGCGACGCACACACCGGCTCCTTCGCGAACGTGAGCGCGATTCAACACGCCGCAGAAATTACACATTCAGAGGAGGCGCATTCGGAGTATTTTCGGGACACACGCGCGCGGAATCATCACAAATTCAAACGACACGTTAGTGTGCTCGCCAAGTCCACCGGCCGTTGCGAGCAACAAATCGCACGCCAGGGTAACATCCTCGTGGTGTGACATCAACACCCTTCCAACGCTCTCTCCCCTGCCCGTCCCGCTTCACTTCGCGTGACGTCAGAACTGGGTTAATTTTGCTGAACGCGTAACGAGCGCGCTTTCCTTTCTAACGAATGTTAAATCGCAGGATTCAAGCGGAAGTACCGTGTTACCCGCCGGGTCGTCGTTGCCGCTGCAGACGATGGAACAAGGGAGGCTCGCGCGCCTCTCGCGCGCGAGCCGCTGAACCGAACAAAACACTCCCTGGCCGGCGCTTTAAGCTGACGAAACAATCCCGCCGGTGTAGTGGCGGCTGGCAAATACGTTACCGGTAGTCAATGTTCCAAAAGGATCCATTTGTCTCGCCCGACAAAACGTCGGGCTTGAGCGCGATACCAACGCTTATTCCATATCGCGCGTGCGAGAGAGAGAGAGAGAGAGAGGGAGAGAGGTGGAGAAAACGAGAACGCATTTGCGCTGCATTCAACATACTCCGATGAGCAACGCCGTGTTAACACGTTAAATGCGATTCAAGCCGCGTTTGTTGCGCTTCCGTACATTAGCGCGTCAGCCGGGGAGTCTAACGGATAAACGTAAACCGCCCTGACTGGCGATCTTGACGTGTTTCTCTCGAATTCTTTGATCCTCAGGCGAATTGTAATTGGAGGGAGAAAAAGCGACCGCAGTGAGCGGCTCCGTCCGACAGCGCATCGTTTGCGCTCGGGACGTATCGGTAATTCGTCCTGGAGACGATCGTAATTGTTTTCGGACAAAAGAGGTTACTGTGTGGACCGGGGAGACACTACGTGTAACGTATCACGCGCATGAGACCGTGAAATCTTTGCGCTTTCAGCTGATCTCAGATATAATTGTACGGCCTGTGGGACTCTCGCGCGCACGTACTTCGCCAGCGCCATGTTTGTTCTTCGGCCGCGCGATCGAAGAGCAAACCGCGAAATTTCGCCGATGACGCTAACAGAGAAGATTAAGCAAAGTGCGCGTCTCTACGCGCCCGATGTTTCCTTTCACCGCGCCGCGATGGAGATCCTCTTTAATGTAGGCTCTTTAATATTCGACGAATGGAAACGTAGCTGTGTACTTTGAATTAAATGGAAAAGTTTGGCGAAATTCGTCGGGATATATCCGGCGGACTGCTCCAGACGGGAGAAGCTTGAACTCTCTCTGCATTTCAATAATATCGCAGCGCGGACTACGCCGGAGAATTAAATGTGTCTGTTTATACGTCGGCAAATGAGTCCTCTATCTGCCGCGAGCGTATCTCGTGTGGAACGAGCTCGCTCGCACGAATGTAACTTCACCTAATTCTTATTAATCCTTTGTTGATTCTGCTCTCTCCGGGCCGGCCTGTCTCCGCCAAATCCGCCGATTCCTGTTTATACGGGCGACTTTTCAACGAGTATTCTCAGAGCGAGTCGCGAGACCTGTCTTTCGTCGCCACCTGGCCGCAATTTATTTTCTGTCGCAACAATCCCTCCCCTCCCCTACTCTATGCCGCTAACAATTGTCAAATTGTCATCATCGATCCGTCGCGAGCCGGCCAAGTAACCCGACGAATTGACGCTCGGGATTTGAAGCCCGGCCTGGCTGAACATTACCGCCGGGTCGCCTCGGATTCGTATCGACTTCTCGCTCTGATCATTTCCGCAATTCCGAGATTTGCGCAATGACGCGTCAATTAGTCGAAGGTTAGGTTTGATGAAAATTTCACAAAAATCGCACGGCTCCTCGAGATCGATGCTTTTTTTTCCCCGCCACGTCGTCGTGCATCTCCGGCCGGTCGGCGAAGACGCGAAAGTCACGGGCGAAGCCACCGTCGGGGAAACAAAGAAACGCCGCGGAGGTTCGTCGACGCGCAGCATTTCGCGTTTCCTCCTTTGTTCGAGCAATCCCGCCGGCCGCGCGGTGCGACGCGGTGCGTCGCGTCGCGTCGCGTCGCGTCGCGTCGCGTCGCGTCGCGCAGCGCCGAAGTCTCCGGCGCCGTGGAGGGAGCTCGAAG